ATTAGAACCCATGGTTAGGGTAATTGCAGTAAAATTAGACTTGCAAAACTGGAAGGGGACTCTGGTGGTGCAACAGCTAAAGCATTGGGCTGCTAAACAAAAGGTGGGTGCTTCCAACCCACCGCTGCTCCAAGGGAGAAAGATAGGACAGTCTGTTTCTCTAGAAAGTACAGCCTTGTAAACCCACTGGGACAGTTAGACCCTGCTCTGCAGGGTCACCGTGAGTGGGAAATGGCTCTAAGGCAAGGAAATAAACTTTAAAGAAACATTTTTTTTTATCCTAAAGTACTTTTCCTAAAACGTCCGTCTAAAATTAAGCCCCAAAGTTACCAAGGCAGGAAGAGACTGGAGGCACCCTAATGACCTTTAATGAAATGCGTCTGTTTCAGAGAGAAAGCCCTGAGTTTCCACCAGGAGAGGTGAGGCAGTTTGCTCCTATCCTTTCACCCGTGGTTCCAGATCAAGATCGCCACAAGGCTCCTCACCTGATCTTTTTACTGTTAGTATCGCTTTCCTCAAATTCCTTGTGAATTAGGTAGGGAGGTACATATTAGATCGATTGTTCTTGCCTTCAAGAACTTCAATGATTTATTAAACTTCCCAATGGCTTGCCTAGACCCCTCCCTCCTTCTTCCTGTCTCCCTCCTTCCCATCTCCTTCTTGTTGTCTATTACCTTCACTTGCACACCTATCTACTCTCTACCCTGTTGGCTCCCTTCCCTCCCATCCTCCCCCACTCCTGGCAACTGTCAAAGTCCGTGTCTTTTGGTTTGAAAACTTTTTCTTGATTAAAAACAAAACAAAACAAACACTGGTTTTGACTCATGAATAGGAAAGTGCTTAAAGATGTCACAATTGTTTGAGCTGCATAGGAGTGTCTATGCCACTGTTTGGCCATTGAATTTTGTAACAAAGTCCCACTTTGGCATATTTTACAATTTGGATATGTTCCGGCAAAGCTACTAGAGTCAGCGAGGTATTATGGGATTGCCGTGACTCAATAGATGAGTAATTTAAGAATTCTTGCTACTAAGTCTTATAAACTGTACTGAACAAGAGATCCAAATCTGAAGCTATCCATTCCCAACCGATTCTCCATCGAGCTAGATACATTTCTGAAGGCAGCGGCTCCATCTCTCCAACTCTTCTCTGGGGAACTCTGTGCTCTTCAATTGATAGCACCACGGAGCAGGAGTTGGGGCATCTTGAGGGGCAAACTGTATTCCTGTGACATGTTCTCTGAGTTTGGGGAACAAAATAAAAAGTCTGCAGGGGAAAAATCAGGACTGTAGGGTGGACGGGGCAGGGTTCCTCATGAAATTCTCTTAGGAGATTGAACATTGTCATGATGGGAAAATTTCCCCCAGCACAACTTCCCCTGGACTTTGCCGTACCAATCCAGTTTTTGGTGATTCTTAAAACTTCTACCTAATAAATACTGTGACTGTCCTCGAACCTATCTGCCCTTGACCCCTTGGGAATTTTCAAGGGACAGCTCTCTGTCTTGAATTGAGCTGGTCTGTCAAATCCCCTGAGAGCCTCTGTTTTAACTGAAACTGTTGTGGAGGGCACCCTCCCTCGCGAGAGTCAGACAGATGTGTTTGTGAGAGAGCTGCTGCAGCCATTCACTGGGCACGGAGACAGGTGGGATCACGTTTTCCTTGGAATAAACCTGTGCCCCTGTGACTGGACCCCCAGGGGCAGTACTTTTAGGCCCGCCTTTATGGAAGAGCTGCCTGTTTACAACATATGTTATTGAGCTCATCAATTGCTACCATCATCTCCAAATGCTGTTTTCCTTACTCATGCCTTCAATGCACTGACTCTTCTAGGCAGACACTCCCCCCGCCCATTTCATTTAAATTTGTTGTTAGTGCCCTTGAGTCATGTGACTCATAGTGACCCTTTATACAACATAATAAAACACTGCCTGGTCTCATAGCACTTGCAACAGTTTTCATAACTGAGCCAATCTCTCTTCTTGACAGTCTCCCTCTTTTATGTTGCACCCCTTCTTTACCGAGCATGATATCCTTCTTCAGGGACTGGTTTGTCTTGATCTTGCGTATGCCCCACCATGTCCCCCAGGAGATGGCAGGGAACCAGTCTCATGAGGTGCATTTATACTATAGTGTAAACGACTAACGGATTGCTTCCCTGTCCTATAGTTTGCTGTACCGACAGAGGCTGTTCCTTTACTACTTGCCCAAAGTGAAAAACTCCCAACTTGCTGTGGATATTGAGAGGGAGAGTTTTCCTGCTACCCTGGAGGCCGCCTCTGTGGTCATCTCGCCTTGACTGTCCCTGTTTTCATAGCATCTTTGTTTCCTGCACATCTGAGCCACACACATGCACACACACAACCAGCTGGGGTTGCTGCCATGTCAAGATAAACGAACACAGAAGAAGGACCCTTGTGGGGGGGAAAGCAAAGGACATTCATGAAGCTGTCGCTGCAGCTACACCAGCAGGCACACAAACCTTGCATTTTTTTGCAAAAGAGCTTTTATATATGGGTGCAATCTATCTATACATATAACACGCAAAACATGTGTCAATTGGCTATGTCACTGGTGAGCATTCTGGTCAACAGTGAGCTATTCGTCGTTAAGTATGGGGGAGGTAAATTCTCTATGCAGATTTGTGCCTTGGAAGGATCAATGTTTCCTAAACCCTGAGTTGTTCCAAGTTCAACTGCATTCATTGAAGAGAATTAATGCTCCTACGGGGTTCAGTGTCTCCAACTGAGGACTTGATACACGATTCTGTTGTCTAGACCTTCTCCAACTCGAAGTGGTCTCTTATCATTTTAGTCCTGTGAATCTTACCTGTTCCTTGTCATGCTGATAGGTCTAGGTACTTCTTCGCATTACGGAACAGCTGTTGGGCACGTGAGCCTGGGATTCCCCGTACACGGACCGTCATTTGCTAGGAGGAAAGCTATGTTCTTCTCGACATCTGCGGTCATCCAGTTCTGTGGGCTGAGCATTCAGAAAACAAACACCTGCCATTTTCCACCCCCCTTTCCAGAGGTGCTCTCCTGTAGGTCCCCGTTAAGTTCTGATCCTGGCGCTTCCTGGGAGCGGGGGTCCACCTCACTCCTGCCTCCCCCAAAGCGTCAAGCACACAGGAAGGGCCCCACGAATGAAAGCGAAGGAACCATTAGACTGAGGCCTGTTGCGGTCAGCCTGGCCCACGGGGCTGGGGTGGGTGGGGAGCCCCTTGGTGGGTGGGGAGCCCCCTGGTGGGCTACTCCAATTCACAAGGTGGGCCACCAGATGCACCCCCATCGTGTCAGGTCTCTTCCCCGTCAAGTAAAGGGTTCATATTAAAAGGAGAAGACCCTCAGTGAGATGGATTGGCAGAGGGACCACAACCATGGAGTCAAGCAGTGTCCCCTTCTGTGCGCTGGGGGGCGAGGAATTGGCATCAAGAAACCACAAACATGCTGCTGGACCTAGTGGTCCAGTCCACCTCTGACACACGAGCCAGTCCACCTCTGACACACGAGCGGGAAAAGACCTGGTGGTCCAGTCTACCTCTGAGCAGGTAATCCTTTGGACACAATCCTGTGCTGGCACATGGGTTGCCATGAGTTAAAATGGACTCTCAGGCAATTGGTATGGTAGGGTACGGTAATATGCTTACAGACCTGGAGACATGTCTATGGTGGAAGTTCAGGAAAGAAGTTACAAAATAATGGCATAGCAGGTCCATGTTTTTTAAGAACAAACACCAAGCCCCCACCACCAAAAATTGTTTTAGATAATTAAGCCATTTATTTAATCCCTAAATGACTCAGTTTTTCATCTGAGCAATGAGGATGATGACAGTAATTCTTAGTCAACGGGCTCTTTAAAAAAAAAAAAAAGTACTGTGTTTTAGGCCCAAGCTCACACAGCAAACTAGGGTCCAGTGTAATAATTCTAGGACAGGTTGTTCTGGTTATAATTGTTGCGATGTTATTTTCAGTGTTTCCATTCTGCTTGTTTTTCTTCTGTTGATCTAGCTTCCCTGCCCCTCCTCGCCTTCTCGCAGTCGCTTTTGGGCAACTATCTCTTGGTCTCCTGTGACTGCTTAAGGGCGCACATGCCTGAGGGTGATATTGTTCACTCTATAAGCTGGTCTACTATTGAGCTGAAAGGAGACCTCCAGGAGCGGCTTCAGATCTAAGTTAAAGGGGATAGTAGGGTGAAAGTCTTAAGGACATTTTAGTCTCGATCAGTCCAGTAAGTCTGGTCTTCTTTTAGGAATTTGAGTGTTGACCTCCGCCCCCACTCTCTCCAGGATCTTCCATTGTATCCCTGGTCAGGACAGTTGGTGGTAGTAGCGGGCACCATCCAGTTCTTCTGATCCCAGGCTAGAAGAAGCTGTGCGCCGTGTGAGCTACTGGCCCTGTGGACTAGTTTTTTTATTCTCATCTAAGATAATCGTATCTGACCTGGCCACTCACAAACGTGACCCGAGATGCTACTCATGAAACCAGGACGTAAAGCATCATCTTTATGAACAACGCTATGCCAATTGACTGAGTTGGCCCTTGAGCCTCAGAGCTTCTGGTGCCGCTGAAGTGGGGTGATAGGTGCCAGGTCCGTAGACTCCTGCAAGTGGCAGCCTCCTCTGGCTGTTTGTGTAAGGAAGGTGGTTTGGGTCCGAATGAGGAGGAAAGATGCACCCCGGGGCACTCGCATGATTTCCGGGAGGTGAGGAGGAGAAATCCCTAAAGTGGTGGAAAGAAATTAACTTTTTCGTTGTATTCTCTTTACATTGCCCCACGGATGGAAGCTAGCTGTTGTCACAACTTCAGGAACATCCATAATGTCTTCATATCGTATTAGTAGATGGGGTACTATCACCATAACCACAAATGGTGAATTGGGAAAAGCACAGGCTAGAAGCAGGACTGTGATTCCGAGTTCTGTGATTTCTGAGTCGGAATTTAACCATCGGAATTTAAAGTGCGGGAGACGTAAACTAATCCGGCCTCCTGTTGTCCGCAGCATCTACTGCAGGGGCTGCGCCAAGCCGCTGTGCTGCTCGTGCGCGCTCCTCGACACGGGCCACAGCCAGGACAAGCGGGACATCTGCACCGAGATTCAGCAGCGACAGGAGGAGCTGGACACCATGGCGCAGGCGCTGCAGGTACAGGAGGGCGCCTTCGCGGAGGCGCACGCGCGCATGGCCACCATCACCAGCCAGCTGGACAGCATACGCAAGGACACGGAGAAACTGATCCGGTCGCAGGTGAGCGAGGTGGTGGAGCAAGTGCTGGCGCTGGAGCGGGAGTTGCTGCAGAGCGTGGAGGCGCGGTTCGAGCTTGACAACCAGGAGATCGCCAAGCACCTGGGCCACCTGGACGCAGTGCTGCAGCGCATCCGCACGGGGGGCACGCTGGTGCAGAAGATGAAAGGCTACGCTTCGGGCCAGGAGGTGCTGGACATGCACAGCTTTCTGTGCGAGGCATTGCGCTGCCTGAGCCAGGAGGAGCCCCAGAGCCTGAAAGCCCCCGTGAGCCCCCACAGCTTCGAGGAGTTCAAAGATGAGTTCAAGGAGCGCCTGAAGACCCTCGTGTCTTCCATCACCTGGGAGATGGGTAAGCACACCGAGCCACTTCTGCGGGCCACCTGTGGGCCATTTGAAAAGGCTTCTTCTAACCCATTGCCCGCTGGGGAATGGGGGACCGAAAGGATAGTCTCCATTTGTCAGAAAAGGATATTAGGTTTTGATTAAGTCTCTTGGGTCTAATTAAGTCACAGGTTCCAGGGTGCAAGCAAAGGGAGTGGGGAGGTCCCGGCATGGATCTGCCCCCACTAGGAGGGGGACACTTTACACAAAGCTCTCTGTGGATTAGAGTGACCCAAAGGAGTCGTGGGAAGCTGAGAAAGGGCAGAGTTTGGGCTCCAGAGAGACCGAGGGTTCTTGAAGGGTCTCTCGGCACCCTGCGCCCAGGAACAGAGATGTCAACGGGGCCATGAGGGTTAAGGCAGAAGTGGGCCCCACAAACTCGCTGGAGGGCTTAGGTGCTGGCCCCCAACCTTGCAGGGCTGGGGGAGAGAACACTTGTTTTCAGGATGGCCTCCCCTCCAGCTGCCCCGCCTTTGTAGGCCCAGCTGGTACTGGGCACATAGGGGCCCATGGATAGAGGGCTCTCATTTCTTTTCCTAGAGCCAAAGGATGTGGCCTACAAAGACAGGGGACATGACCTGCATGCTTCCCTGTCCAGACAGTAACTGTGACCCATATGCAGATGATGACCCCACAGACTTCAAACCACTGGCCTTGAGTACTGTACCCTGGCCACGGCAAGGAGAGGAGGGGTTGTACTCCGCAGCTCAAGGGATCGAATCCAGGCTTCCTGACAACTAGGCTGCTGCGGGTCAGCGGAGTGTGGGAGAGCCTCGCTGAATGTGGACAGGCCGGTGAGCCGCACTGGCTTCAAGACTGTCTACACATTGTCTTGCTGGGGGTGCAGAGATGGAGAGAGGACTGGAGTTAGGGGTCAATGGCATGCGCTCTCTCCCTTCACGCTGCACTCAGGGTGTAGCTGAGAGAGAGAGTTCAGTCGAGACAGACAGACAAAGACAGGAGAGCTTTCCTACCCACTGTTCATCCCTCCCTGAAGCTGCCCCTGCCCTGAAAGATGCCCTCATGAGGCAGATGGGGCTGCTCCTTAGGTGCCCTGGGGACTGCCCTGACCTGCCTAAGACATTTTTTCTCCAGATGAAGCTCAACCCAAGAGAGCCAATCCCGAGGCTGCCAGCACTCCCGGGGACCCTTTTGATGTTGACCTGGTGAGTTGGGGTTGAGGTGTGAAGAGGAGGCTTGGGGCACCCCCGCGGGTCAAAGGACCTGAGAGTTCCTGTATCAGAAGGGAACCCCTGCTTGCTGTTCCCATATGTGGTCCAATCCAGTGGCTGAGTTGAACCTTTCCTGTGAGTAGGAGTATGGGAAGCCATGCAGGAAAGGCTGGCTGGCTCTGGGCACTTGAATGCCAAAGTAGCCCTTTGTGGGACATGAGCCAGGTTCAGGAGGGGGCCCCTAGGTGCAGTGGTGAACAGAAATAAATGAAAGGGGTGGTCACTATCGGGTATCCCTGCTGGGCATGACAGATAACCTGTGCCCCATCCCAGATATATGAACCTTTCCCTGGGTTCAACAGACGTGGCCCTTGACAAAGAGTAGGGCCAGAAGTCAGGTTCCAGCCCAGCGGGCTGGCTCCCACCTTTCAGATTCTAGGGCCAGCATATATCTAAGGGCCATAGATGGTCAGCATTGGCAGGTGCCCATATGCCATCTAGTATTGGAATTCCCTCTGCACTACCCCAGCTCATGCTGCCTCTCTGTAGTGCCTTGACTTAGAAAGCTCCACTCTGGATAGAAATACAATAGCATCATTTTAACTTGCCCTCAGTGCCACTCGCCAGCATGGCTACTCTCTACCAGGATGGGCTTGCTCCGTTCCTGTGAGGTGAGAACCCAGCTCTCACAAATCGAACACAAAAGGACCAAGAAGGGGCACAGTCGCCAATTGAGAAAGATAGAGAAAAAACAACCAAGTTGGGGCGTAAGGGCCTCCTGGAGGAGCATGGGGAGGGACTCCAGGGCCCAGAAAGTTATTCAATCCAGCTCTGTCACCTATCCTGCGTTCTGTGACAAGTTCTCACACAAAGGGTTTGTTGACCGTTTCTTTGAAGGCAAACAAAGCATACTATTTCAGCCAATTTGTCTAAGTCTGGAGGGGAAGATAAAGCCCAAATTAGGGTGTATAACTGACACCTGCAGAATGCTGTGTTTCAGCAGTGTCCCGGGGAACAGGAGAGAACGTGTTTACACGACCTTAGTCGAAGGTCAGGCCTTCACTGTCTCAGCCCCCTGGGTTTGAGCTGTCAGCTCTTTCCCTCAGGCCTTGGCTAGACTGTGGAGTATGGTGATAGTCTTGTTTTACTTGGAAATGAGGCTCAGACTGTCCCATGAATGCACTCTGTTACCAGAAGCTGTTACGGGACAGCATTCTGCTCCAGGTTCAGAGTTTACCACCAATATCGCCACATTCAGAGATTTTGACACGCATTCCTTTTTTAGAGTTCATCTCAAGACAATCTGTTCCCACAAGTTCCTTCTTGTGGACTTGCTATCTGCTCTCCTCCTATTCTGGTAATCTGAGCTGACATATGCCTGCTTTTCAAGGGGCTGGGTCCAGGATAGACTGGTCCTCCATGGAATGTGGGTCTTCGGGTGCAGGGGTGGGGGTGGGGGTGGCGGGCCTTTCCAATTTTGCCATTGCATGACCAATAGGTGAGAGAGGTTGTTGTGTGCCTTGGCAATCAGGGGAGGCTTCCTAGAGAAAACAAGATGTGGTGTCCCATGCTCAGAAAGAGCATGAAGTCTTGTTCACCCTTACAGAGGGTGAACCTAAGACCCAGAGACAGTATGACTTTCCCAAGACCACACCGCAAGCTAGTGGCTGGGTTAGAAACCACCTCCTGTCTTCTTTGGGCATTATATCCCCGTATACACAGATTATAAAGTGAAAGGGGGCATTTTATTCTAATCTTCTTAGGTAGGTAATATAATCACATGATCAAAAATTAAAACCTGAAGCAATTGATGCAAAGTCAATGGTTAGTCTCTCACTTACTGGAGAGAAATGAAAAGCATTCCCCTTTCGTCTGGGAATCAGCCAGGGCTACCCTTTATTCCCACTCTTCTTTAATAGCGTCCTAAAGCCTTAGCCTGTCCTAGAAGACACCAGAAAGCTGTCAAGGCATCCAGATTTGCAAAGAGAAAGCAAAGCTCTCTGTACTCGCAGATGACATACTCCTATATATAGAAAACCCCAAAGACTCAATAAAAAAATTGCAGCAACCAATTGAAAATCTTGGCAATGTAGCAGGCTATAAGCCCAACATACAAAAGCCAGTTGGATTCTTGTAAATGAAAGGAAAAGACCCGGAAAAGGAAATTAAATGAAAAACGCCATTTTACAATAATGACCCAAAAGATAAAATACTTAGGAATAAATCTAACCAGAGAAACAAAAGATATATACAAAGAAAACTATGAAACACTTCTACAGGAAATCAAGAGACTTACATAGATAGAATACCCCATGCTCATGGATAGGAAGACTAATATAGTGAAAATGTCAATATTACTGAAAGCACTGTATAAATTCAATGCAATTCCAATCCAAGTCCCAGCACAATTCTTAAGTTTAAAAATTACAAAAGGAAAAACTAATCAAAAAACTTTATATGGGAAGGAAAGAAATCTAGGATAGACAAAACGATGTTAAAAAACAAACTTGGTGGCCTTTCACTCCAGATTTCAAAGCCTATCATACAGCCACAGTAATCAGAACAGCTTGGTATTGGTGCAACAATAGATGTGTAGACCAATGAATGGACCCCAACAGAGAACCCAGAAATACAGCCAAGCACCGATTGCCACTTGATTTTTGATAAAAGGACTAAAACACATTAAGAGGGGGAGGAGATAGTCATTTCAGCAAATGGTGTTGGAAAATTCGGATCTCCACCTGCAAAAGAATGAAACAGGACTCAAAGATTAAAGACCTAAGTGAAGCCTTAGAACCACATTCATCGCAAGTGAAAAATCAGCGACACACTTGAGGATTCTGATTCAAGGCATAAAAAACGTCATCAAACATAATGAAAATCACCCCCACTACAGAAGACAAAACAGAAGAGCGGGACCTCCTAAAAATATGACACTTATGTACATCAAAAGATGTTATCAAAAAGGTAAAAAGAGAACTCACAGATTGGGAAAAAAATATTTGGCAATGATATATCAGATAAACAGCTAATTTGAAAAGTCTATAGAAAACTACAATACTTAATAAGAAAAACACTAATAGCCCAATAAAAAATGGACACAAAGCATGGACAACATCCGGGTGACAAACAATAATACGAAGAAATGCTCAATTTCATTAGCCATAAGAGAAATACAAATTAAAATGATGAGACATCACCTCAGACCAACACTCATAGCAAATTTGAAAAAGCAGAAAATTGCATAATAAATGCTGTGAAGCTATGGAACTTCTGGAATGCTCAGACACTGCTGGTGGAATTGCAGAATCAACATGGAAAACAGCATGGTGCGTCCTTGTGCAAACACCCTATGATCTTGCAATTTCTCTACTTGGTAGATGCCCTAAAGGAACAAAGCTCAAAACACGAATCACGAACAAATATCTGCACACCTATTTTTAACCACGTAGATTTCCACAATAGCAAAAAGATGGAGACAGTCAAAACCCTCCTGTGGAGGAACAGAAGAACAAACTGTGGTTCACACATGGAATATTATGTATCCACAAAAACAATGATGTGTCTGTCAAACATCTCATGACATGGACAAGATTGAAAGACACTGTGCTCGGAAAATGTAGTCAATCTTACAAAGATAAATGTTTCATGAGACCATGATTATAAAGGGAGGGGGAAAAGTGGATTTCCCACCCAAGGAGAAGACTGTGGAGACTTTGAGGAGACTGGGGTGCAGGATGGGGGTGGAGAGAGGAGGGGCAGGGAGGCAAGGAGGGAGACTGAGTGGGTGAAGAAGCCAAAAGAACCACACACTGCACAAGGGTGTTTACTGGGATGCAGTCACTGTTTGGAAGCCAAGGGTGGTGCAACTGGGGTGGGGGGGGATAATAATTTTTAAAACAAGTTTTTTTAAAAAGAGAAAGGTCATAACCTTAAACCCCTTCCTGTTTACTCACTCCTCAGATCTCAACACGAGTGTCTGAGGGTTTATACAAGGAGAAAAGGGCACATGGAACCAGACTCCAATGATTTTGTGACACACGGCTAGTTTCAGACACAAGTCAAACCCATAGCCTGCTTCATGAAGGGCCCTTGTAGACAGAGTAGAGCTGCTTCTTACAGTTTCACAGCCTCATCTTTCTCCTGTGGAATGATTGGTGGGTTTGAACCATTGACTTCGTGGTCAGCCCAACACCAAACCCATAGTGTCAACCGGGTTTCTTTTCCAGATTCAAGTCGCTGGTCAATAAACAGTCAGGGAGTTGGGTGGCAGTCCTCAAAGTCAGGCGCTCCTACTCCCATGAAGAGCTACAGTCGATGAAACCCACGAGGGCAGTTGGGTGGCAACTTGGCACATCCTCCTGTAACCAGGGGCGATAGAGTAGGCTTTCTACTCCCATAAAGAGTGACAGTCTCGGGAACCCACAAGGAGTCCTTCTACTCGGTTTAGATTTGCTATGAGTCAAAATCACTCGATGGCCTTGAGAGTTGTTTTGTAAGGAGCACCCCCCCCCCCACTGTGTGTGTGTGTGTGTGTGTGTGGCTAAAGCACTCAGCTGCTCACTGCAAAGCTGGAGATTCAATTCCACCCAGGGGCACCTCAGAAGAAAGGCCTGGCAACCCGCTGCCCACCTATCAACCATTGGAGCACCTCGCTCCTCTGGCACGCGTGGACTTGCCATGAGCCCGTCAGCTGGACGGTCCCTGGGGAATGCTCTTGTAAAGCCAGAGCAGATGTGACCGCTCAGTCCCCGGCCCTCTGCTGGTGGAACCTGGAGCTTCGGAAACCGGAAAGGGCTTCCATTGCAAAGCCTTCCGCTTTCTCTTTGGTGACCGGCTGGGGTGGGTCGTGTGGAACTGAAGTGTGAGTGCAAAGGTGAGGCAGGCCCAGGGGGTCCGGGTGGGGGGGTGGGAACAGGGTCAGCCGCAGGCGGAGGCCAGATTTGAACTCCTCCCTTGTTGAAACGGCTCATGTGCTCTCGTAGCTAGACCCC